AAAAAAAAAATTTTTTTTTGAGACAGTCTCCCTTTGTCGCCCAGATTGGGAGTGCAATGGCTTGATGTCAGCTCACTGCAACTTCTGTCTCCCGGGTTCAAGCAATTATCCTGCCTCAGCCTCCTGAATAGCTGGGACTACAGGCACCTGCCACCATGCCAGCTAATTTTTGTAATTTTAGTAGAGACAGGGTTTCACCATATTGGCCAGTCTGGCCTCAAACTCCTGACCTTGCAATCCACCCACCTTAGCCTCCCAAAGTGCTTGGATTACAGGCATGAATTACCACGCCTGGCCCTAATTTTTAAATGTTTTGTAGCAATGGGCTCTCACTATGTTACCCACACTGGTCTTCAACTCTTGGGTTCAAGCAATCCTACTGGTTTGGCCTCCCAAAGTTCTGGGATTTTATCAGTCTCTTTTTGAGTGCCAGAATTCCTGAGTTCATTATCACTGGATATTTTCCCTGACCTGTGCCATCACCACTGTATAGGATCTGTAACAATAGTTTTTTGCTTGCTTGCTAATAAATATCTGGTTAATAACCGTATGTAAGGCAGAGTGTGGTGACTCACGTCTGTAATCCCAGCACTTTTAGAGGCTGAGGCATGCGGATCACCTGGGGTTACAGGTGTGAGTCACCACACCCGATCTGAACAGGACATTTTGTTAACAGACTCCTCAGGAAGATTACTGTTAGCTACCTTATTTTCTCTGTCATTCAGATTTTAGCATTTTATTAAGTTTCTTTTATGTGTTTCATTGACATGTATAAATAGACTAGAAAACTTCTTCCAAAACACAATTAACGGGACAAATTAATGGTTTTAATACACTATACCAGCACATTCTAATCTCAAACTTACTTGTTTTCAAAACATGTGTATTGTCCATCTTACCTCCTCAGGATTCACATTTGTCTGATACCCACTATATTATGTACAGTGTGATCCAATGTGTTTCACATATAGCATGTTAAATTGGATAACTTACCACAATCTATCATTTCAAAGTCATCATTTATATTTTTATTATACGCCACAACTTCTCCTGGAATACTTTTCAGCAGAACACTTCTATATACCTACAGACCAGAGGGGAAAAAAAGAACTGCTCAGTCACAGAGGTACAGGTTAAACAAAATCAAAATGAGAAGAGGAAAACATCAAGCCAATTAAAAACTATTTATTTGGGCTGGGCATGGTGGCTCATGCCTATAATCCCAGCACTTTGGAAGGCCAAGGCAGGCGTATCACAAGGTCAGCCTGACCAACATAGTGAAATCTCATCTCTACTAAAAATACAAAAAATTAACTGGGCATGGTGGCAGGCACCTGTAGTCCCAGCTACTTGGGAGGCTGAGGCAGGAGAATCACTTGAACCTGAAAGATGGAGGTTGTAGTGAGCCAAGATTGCGCCACTGCACTCTAGCCTGAGTGACACTTCGAGACTCCACTTCAAACAAAAGAACAAAATCAAAAAACAACTATTTGACTGTATAAGTGATACTCAAGGGTAAAATGTTATTAGTTCAAGTAAGTATAGATTATAACACATACCATAAAAGAGGGGATACTGGAGAAGAGCCTATAACCTAAGATGGGCTTAGTTTATAAAACAGAAGAAGTAGCAACTAAAGACTGATGATCAGGTTTTACTAAATCAAAGCAACTTCAAAGACCTGAATTTGGCCAGTGTAATTAATCCCAGCACTTTGGGAGGCCAAGACAGGTGGATCACTTGAGGCCAGGAGTTTGAGACCAGCCTGGCCAACATGCTAAAAGCCCATCTTTACTAAAAATACAAAAATTAGCTGGGCATGGTAGCACACACTTGTAATTTCAGCTACTAGGGAGGCTGAGGCAGGAGAATTGCTTGAACCCAGGGGGTGGAGGTTGCATTGCGCTGAGATTGTGCCATTGCACTCCAGCCTAGGCAGTAGAGCAAGACTCCATCTCAAATAAATAAAGACTTGAATTAATTCCTCCTCCTTTTTAATTCCTTACACAAGAATCAATTGGTCTCTTTTTTCTTTTCTTTTTTTTTTAGAGCCAGGGTCTCACTCCATGGCTCAAACTGGAGTGCAGTGGCACAATCATTGTTTATTGCAGCCTCGACCTCCTGGGTTCAATCGATCTGCCTGACTTGGCCTCCCAAACTGGTGGGATTACAGGCACGAGCCACTGCTCTGGCCAAGAGTCATTAGTTCTTAATGAAGCTTGTTTTCCTGCTCCCAGCCCATTCCCATCTCCTTTCAGATGGCCACATGAGAATTGTTTCCCCTCCCTGCCCCTAAACTGTCTCTCACCTCTGAGATAGCTGGAAAGGCATGATTCATTCCCCCTTGTACTATATTATAGGTTACTGGTATTAAGAGGATATATAGGGAGCTGTGGCTTGGCCCATTTCTGACTCATACTAACCTCACCTTAATGATCTTCAAGGATAATCTAGAGCTTTCTAGGCTCCGTTCCTGAGGGATTTTCTAAAGAGGCCCAGAAAATCTTAGTTTATCACAGGATATAACAAATGCCTGTACTTGGTTCTCCAAATGTTTCTATATTGCTTGCTATAATATATTTCAGGGCTTAAACAAAGCTCTCTTAGAAGGAGATATAACTACTAGTAGTGTGAGGCCCCCATCTCTGTTTTGGCCTGCAATCTAGGCCACTACTTCTGTCTACAATTTTTAGGGCCAAAAAAGAGGCCATTATGCTTCCTAAGAGCAGAGCAACTAGGTTCTTCTTTTTTTTTGAGACAGAGTCTTGCACTGAAGGCTGGGCTGGAGTACAGTTGCACAATCTCTGCTCACTGGAACCTCCACCTCCCAGGTTCATGTGATTTTTCTGCCTCAGCCTCCTGAGTAGGTGTGCACCACCACACCCAGCTGATTTTTTGTATTTTTAGTAGAGACGGGGTTTCACTATGTTGGCCAGACGGATCTCAAACTCCCGACCTCATGATCCACTCACCTCAACCTCCCAAAGTGCTGGGAATACAGGCGTGAGCCAACCTGCCTGGCCAGCAGCTAGGTTCTTGAATGATCATTAAAGTAATTTACTTGTGTTCTTCAGGTACACTAATAACAACAATATGACATTATTGTGTGCCAGTCCACTCAGCTACCATGACTGAAAGGTTTTACTTAATTTTCACCATGGCCAGAACAATATAATCAGAAATGTTTAATGTCTATTCAAAGATGCAAACATTAGGATGCTTAGCAAATGGCAAACGCTGTAGTTAAGTTAATGAATCCTCAAATCTCACTGGGTTTAAACATCATCAAAAAAATCAGTCTCATATAATTAAAGATTATTATACATATCTTTCATTAAATGAGCAAATGGAAAGGCAGAACTTATGAGAAGTATACGCAAGTGTATCGATGAGTCAGAAACAGTCAGATTTCCTGGCTTCTACTGAAACTGTCCTTCAATGAAATTGTCTCTTGAGTTTAATGTTATCCATTAAAGCAGAAAATCTAAAGTATATTAAAACTATAAAAGAAGTTTACCTTTTATATGATTTGTCAGTGGAAAAAGAGAGCAAATTTATTTTTGGACAGCAGGAAAAATAATGTGACTCACATGACTATTAGCTTGGGGCTGATTCCTATAACTTTTCATAATTTCTTGAAAAGTTCTTTCTTCTTTTGTTACCTAAGGAAAATAAAAACTACATTTATCAACTGCTTTTTGAAAGAAAAATGGCTCTGAACAAAAACTTTAATTATAAGTTGGCACTGAGAGCAGCCTTGCAGAAAACCATTAACCCCAAACCAGTCCATGACTAAAAACCACTAACATTTATGATTTTTTTTTTTTTTTGAGCGGCCTCATTTATGACTTTTTTTACCTTAAAAGTTCGGGCTTTGTGGCCTGTGGGGACTCACTTAATAGTTTCATTAATCAAAAAGCACTGAAACTGCTATAATGTGACTTTACTAAAATGCATTTCTTTATATAAAAAATGATATAAGCAAACTCAGATCTGTTGAGTCCCCTGCAGTCTCTAGTTTTATTAATTTTAAAAGTACTTACTTAAAAGTAAATTAACCACATACTAAGGACTGAAAATACTTCACAGTGATTCTCCATAAAACTCAGTAGCTATTATAGGTTTAGGTTCTAACATTTCAAGACAGACTATAGGGTTTCTTCTTTTTTTGAGACGGAGTTTTGTTCTTGTTGCCCGGGCTGGAGTGCGATGGCATGATCTTGGCTCACCGCAACCTCTGTCTCCTGGGTTCAAGGGATTCTTCTGCCTCAGCCTCCTGAGTAGCTGGGATTACAGTTGCAGGCCACTACACCTGGCTAATTTTATATTTTTAGTAGAGACGGGGTTTCGCCATGTTGGTTAGGCTGGTCTTGAACTCCTGACCATGTAATCTGCTCACCCCAGCCTCCCAAAGTGCTGGGATTACAGGTATAAGCCATTGTGCCTGACCGTTTCTAATGCTCAGACAGAAGTCACAGTGGTGGCCAAAAGGAAGAACATGGATTAGGTGATCCAAAAAGGAATTCCTTTCGGTATCTCTGTGATCATAAACTTCATGCAAGTTACTCTTTTCTCCTGCTTCACTGTCCATTAGTGCTAAACCTTTCTCTATAAGACGAGCTAGAAATGGCAAAGCCTGAACTCTGACTTCTGGAAAACACACATGATTAGTTAGCCTGAACTCTGACAGTCTTCTGGAAAACATGATTTATCTTTTAACTTTTTACAAATAGAACTTTTATTTGCCAGTATTATAAGTCTGAACTTTAAATAGACTCTCGGACTAGTGTTTCATATCCATCAGTTCATTCAACTTTGGCACCTGTTTCACCCCAGTTGCTTTTCCAGAACTACTACCTTCACCATGAAGCTCCATGAGTTTTCCCAATTCAAACGTGGGCTTCTTCAGCATTTTTACTATTCTAAGGCATCATGGAAAGGATAAATAGATTAGCAAGGCTTTTCTATGGTTTTTTCTAATGCTGTCTAGAATCAATTTATTGACTACTTCCTTCAAGTCATTTGTCTGTACCTCTTGGGTCATGATTTCTATCAGCTTCCTCTGGATTTGGTGGACCTGTTGGTACTGAACACAAGAAGTCTTCTGTATCTGATATGTTTTTTTAGTAAAACCAACACAGAACAGTTGAAGCAAATAACTGTTTTTTTTTGACTTTGGTAGTTTTGACATAGACATGCGCATCGACCATGATATGCCATTTTTTGACCATGGAACACACTTTGTCATGAGTAAGATCCATGTCATGGAAGTTAGGCAGCTTTTGTCCTAAATATCTTTAGTAATCAGGTTGAGTTTTCTAACTGAGACTTCATGATTCTGCAAATCAGCAAGATTCAATTCAAACACATGACTCTTGAGGCTATCAGATGCAATTTGGTTCCTTGAGTCCTGGTAACTAGCGTCTTTCCAATATTTCTTCTATTGAACGTAGCAGATATTTTTACATTATACCAATATTTCTTAGAAAACAGACCAATCATTTTCTTCTTGGCTCCATTTTTGCTGCCTTTTGTAAGGTGCTTGCTTTTGTCAGCTGCCATAGTTCTACAGTAACAATTATTAAGACCTATTTTTGCAGAGATTTCAAAGAGGCATTGTGGAAGGAGGGTCACAAAAGAATTTAAGAACATATCCTCTGTTTCAAAAAGCTGAAAAATCAAGTCTTAACTGTATATATCTGCTAGGACTGCCTGTGGCCAGTAAGCTCAAGACAAATGATTGTGTCAGATATATCAGAATTCTAAAAAACAAGCAAGATATGTTATTCTATAACTTAAAACACGTTGTAGCAACTAGAAAGTAAAATGCTCTTCTGAGTCAGCATAATAAATCATGAGAAAGCAATATGCAATATGGTACAGAAACTTTTTTTTTTTTTGAGACGGGGTCTCACTCTGTTGCCCAGGCTGGGGTGTAGTGTCATGATCTCAGTTCATTGCAGCCCTGGGCTTCTAGGTGCAAGAGATCCTCCCACCTCAATTATCTTTGGCAGAAAAACACCTATAAACTGAGCTTAAAAACTAATTTAAGCTACTCAATAATCTAATAGAAAGCCTCCCAAGTAGCTGGGACTATATGTGTAAGTCACAACGCCCAGGTAATTTTTATATTTTTTGTTGAGATGAGGTTTCACCATGTTGGCCAAGCTGGTCTCAAACTTCTGAGCTCAAGCAATCTGCTCGCCTTGACCTCCCAAAGTGCTGGGATTATAGACGTGAGCCACCATGCCCAGTCTCTTCTTCCAATTTATACATTACCTTTGCCATGATATAAAAGGCACAAAGGAGGAGCTGATCCAAATGCCTGTCTTTCATTAGATCAGGGCAGTGAACTAAAGTGAATTCAAAACACGTCCATATCTTCCTTCGCAACTCATTTGAAACATCCAGTTTTAGACATAAATCACGTAAGCGTACGCTTGCCAAATGATAGACCTAAAATGGAAGGTAACATATTGATGCAAAATGCCAAGTAAATCATTTCTCAAAAAATTTTTTTGAAATGGAGTCTTGCTCTTGTTGCCCAGGCTGGAGTGCAGTGGCACAATCTCGGCTCACTGCAACCTCTGCCTCCCAGGTTCAAATGATTCTCCTGCCTCAACCTCCTGAGTAGCTGGGATTACAGGCACGAACCACCATGCCCAGCTAATTTTTTGTATTTTTAATAGGGACGGGGTTTCACTATGTTGGCCAGGCTGGTCTCGAACTCCTGATCTCAGACGATCCACCTGCCTTGGCCTCCCAAAGTGTTGGGATTACAGGCATGAGCCACTGCGTCCGGCCTCAAATTTTTATGTCTTACCATGAACATGGGCTTCAGGCCAAGGTTAAAAAACATACTGTTGACATACTAAACTAAATAACATTTCTGTTCTATAGGACTAGTTCACTGCTATGGCAGGAGGATATAGATTAGAGCAAAACTACTTAACATTTTTTTAAGATGTCATCTGTTACTCTATGCTGCCAACTATGTAAAGTAAGAAAAACTGAAATGTAGGATTTACCTGTATAATGACAATTAAAAATGCATAATTTTTCTTTCTTCTTTTTTTTTTTTTTTTTAGGTGGATTCTTGCTCTGTCACCCAGGCTGGAGTGCAGTGGCACCATCTTGGCTCACTGTAACCTCTACCTTCTGTGTTCAAGCAATTCTCCTGCCTCAGCCTCCTGAGTAACTGGGCTTACAGGTACATGCCACCACTCCTGGCTAATGTCTATATTTTTAATAGAGATGGGGTTTCACCATGTTCGCCAGGCTGGTCTTGAACTCTTGACCTCAAGTAATCCACCCACCTTGGCCTCCCAAAGTGCTGGGATTATAGGTGTGAGCCACCGTGCCTGGCTGAATTTTTCAAAGCTTAGAAGTCTGTCTATTCTCTTTGGGTTTAGGTAAAATTCCTAAGAATTAGGCAACATGTCAAATAATAAATGTCTGACTTCAAGAGTCAGAAAGCAAAACCATTTAAAAAATTGCTCCTATATTCTACACTGTTTTTATAAGCACAATAGGAACAAAATAGGAATGTTAAAATAAATAAGATACAAAGTTTTTTTTAAGCATGTCAAAGTAAATTCAGTTCAATTCCCTGAGCCCTGAGCCTTTTACATATATTCTTTATATGAACTGATACTAACGCAAATGGCCCTAAGATCCTGCAAGATTGTTTTGTTATTTTAAGAAGTGATAACCCTGATGTGGTATTCCTAAACAAGACTATTCTATTCAAATTCTTCTTATTATTTTTGAGACAGGGGTCTCATTCTGTAGCCTAAGTTGGTAAGCTGGAGTGCAGTGGCATGATCTCGGCTCACTGCAACCTCTGCCTCCCAGGCTCAACTGATTCTCATGTCTCAGCCTTCCAGGTAGCTAGGACTACAGACACATGCCACTATGCCTGGCTTTTTTTTTTTTTTTTTTGTATTTTAGTAGAGATGGGGTTTCACCATATTGCCCATGGTGGTCTCGAACTCCTGAGCTTAGAGGATCCACCCACCTTGGCCTCCCAAAGTGCTGGGATTACAGGTATGAGCCACTGTGTCCAGCCCAAACTATGTCTTTAAATGTCCAGAGGGAAAAAAAGAGAGAAAGAAGTTACCCCTTACGGAAAATTATCTTTGGCAGAAAAACACCTACAAACTGAGCTTAAAAACTAATTTAAGCTGCTTAGTAATCTAATATAAAGAGAGACAAATAGTTGACTCCAAGTTGCCAGTGATTTTTTTTATAGCAGACAATTTTCTGCATCCTCTCCCCTTGTTTCTGGTCCAGCCATGCTGAGGAAATGGTAGGGTCAGAGCAGAGGGAAAGATGCTAGAACTCTATATTCATGAAAGGAGAAAATAAGAGATATAGTCCTGGCTAGAATTTTAAAAATATTTAATTAACTAATACTTGGTAAAGTATCTCTTACAGAGCTGATCCAATGCTTACAGATACACATATGCTGGGAAGGCTTTTGAGTTTAACAAAAAATTCACAGTAAATTCTATTTAGGCATAGAACACCAGCATTACACTGAGTTCAGCATAGATAGATAATCATTATAATTTATTCAATGAATGGTTTTGAATTAATTATAGATTCAGACATTTCAGTTCCTTTTATAATATTTTCTAGCTTCTAATCTGTATGGAGTAGGTTATATTTAAATGAAAGGAAAAGCATATTAGATTTTAAAACAATATTCAAAATAAAGAATTCACCAAAAAAAGCCTTATTTATATCAAACTTAGATTAATTATCAAAGGCAGAAATTTACTATTTTGAAAATTAAAAATGGGAAGTGAATGGGGAAACGACCGTATTTTCTCTTTTTTTGAGTCAAAGTCTCACTCTGTTGCCCAGGCTGGAGTGCAGTGGCATGATTTTGGCTCAGTGCAACATCCGCCTCCCTGGTTCAAGTGATTCTCCTGCCTCAGCCTCCTGAGTAGCTGGGATTACAGGCACATGCCATCATGCCTGGCTAATTTTTTTTCTATTTTTAGTAGAGACAGGGTTTCACCACGTTGGCCAGACTGGTCTTGAATTCCTGACCTCAGGCAATCTGCCCGCCTTGGCCTCCCACAGTGCTGGGATTACAGGTGTGAGCCACCACGCCTGACCTATAGTTTCAAGCTGTTTTTTAAACAGTCCTTAGGCATAGGAAGGGGTGGACAGACACAGGAAAGAAGCCAGTAAAGGTGATGAAAAGAGCAAGACTCTTCTCTCTTAACCATCCTACCTGCCAGTCAAAGCAGCCCTGCTTTTATATGTTTTGTTTATACTTCTGGAGACTATTTCATTCAAAGAAGGGGTTTCCCTACAAGATAAAATTCCTTGGATAATCAGCTGCTCTAAAACCCACAATGTAATGAAAATAAATGAGCTATAATTGAAAGGAACAGAAGACAAAGAATGGTTGTAGAAGCTATAAATATAAGTTGATTTCCAGTGTCTGCCTCCTCTTCAGCATTAACAGAACCCTTGACATTTACACCCAGCTTCCTGTAATAAAGGAAGAGAGTTTGAAACCAGCTTTAGCAACTTAGCAAAACCCCTTTTCTACAAAAAATTTAAAAATTAGCTGGGTGTGGTAGCCTGTGCCTATAGTCCCAGCTACTCAGGAAGGCTGATATGGGAGGATTGCTAGAGACTGGGAGGTTGAGGCTGCGGTAAGCCATGATCTTGCCACTGTACCCCAGCTTGGGTGACAGAGTAAGACACTGTCTCCAAAAAGGAAAAAAAAACAAAACACCAAATTCTAGAAGTGGCTATATGACTACTAAATGGAAAATAAACAGCACTGGTGTATGTAACTTCTAGGACAGGTTCTGAAGGTGAGGAGGTATGCTCTTTTCCTTCCTGCTGGCTAGAATGCAGATATGGTATCTGGAAGGGAAGCAGTCATCATGGACTGAGTTAGTACTAAAATTAAAGGGATGAGCCACCATAACTGGCCTTGATTTATAATAAAAATTATGGGTCACAGTTGAGCATGGTGGCTCACGCCTGTAATCCCAGCACTTTGGGAGGCCGTGGTGGGCAGATCACCTGAGGTCAGGAGTTTGAGACCAGGCTGGCCAACATGGTGAAACCACATTTCTACTAACAATACAAAAATTAGCCAGGTGTGGTGGTGTGTACCTGTCGTCCCAGCTACTTGGGAGGGTGAGGCAGGTGAATTGTTTGAACCTGGGAGACAGAGGCTGTAATGAGCCAAGATTGCAACACTGCACTCCAGCCTGGGTGACAGAGTAAGACTCTGTCTCAAAAAAAAAAAAACAACAAAAATAAATAAATTATGGGTTGGGTATGGTGACTCACACCAGTGATCCCAGTACTTTGGGAGATCAAAGAGGGAGGATCACTTGAGCCCAGGAGGTCGAGGTTATAGTGAGCCATGATCATGCCACTGTACTGTAGCTTGAGTGGGAGAGCAAAACCTTGTCTCTAAAAAGAAAAAATAATTAATTAAAAAAAATGTAGCCTTCCCATAGTATCCCACTAATCTTTAGAATGAATCTTTGCTAATTCATCCATGGGATCCAAGATGTATTTGTCCCACAGTGAACTCTATTCTATAGCAACATAATACAATGGAGTTTCAGTAAATTCCAGAGGCTGGCCAACTACTTAAAGTTATAGAAGAATACAAGCTGATGCCGGGCGCGGTGGCTCAAGCCTGTAATCCCAGCACTTTGGGAGGCCGAGGCGGGTGGATCACGAGGTCAAGAGATCGAGACCATCCTGGTCAACATGGTGAAACCCCGTCTCTA